CAAACTTCACAATAATTTCCAACTTCAGATTTCACACTCTCTCATTCTTGAGAATTTGCTCTCAAAATTCTCTCAACTTTTCTACACTCTAAAAACCACCTTTAAAGCTCTTTTTACTTGAGCTCATTGATTCTTCATTAGAGTCATTGAATTCTAGAGCTAAACCTCCATCATTCATCTCCATCATCTTCAATTCATCATTTGATTTTCGTTTGGATTTGGATCTAATCTTGGAAGCAAGTTTATAAGTGATTCTTGGATCAATTTTGGCTTATTTTGACTTGTTCTTCATTTCTCTTGCAAGAAAGCTCTTGGACCTTGAAGATTTCTTGGGTTTGTAGCTTGGATCTATCAATTTGCACTGAATCAACACTTATCAAAGCAAATCTCAGCTTTGAAGGTTGATTAATTCTAGATCCATTCTTTTTTTGAGCTTATTTGAATAATCACAATGTAGATCTTCAAGTTTTAATTGATTTTATTGATTTTGATCTTTGTGATTTGTGATCTCAATGCTTGATTAAGTTTGATTGATGTTTGATCACCGATTTTAGGTGTTGAATTCGTGCAAAATTGATTACATGATCATATGGATGATTGCACATTGAATTAATTGCCGAAAGTGCTTTTGGATTGTTGTTTTTCTACTTCTGGTGCTGTGTTAATCGATTAACCAGTTGCAGTATAAAACTAGTTAATCGATTAACCAGTGCAAGTTTTGAACTTTTCAAGTGGTTGATCGATTAACCAGTTTGCAGAGGAAAATGGTTAATCGATTAATACTGGATCAAAATGTGATTTTTGGTTGTTTTCAAGCATGTTTTGATTTCTTTCCACCTCTAACCTTCATGGATTGATATGATGCATTTGTGTTAACTGTTTTTGACTTGTTTCATCATGCTTGATTGTTTGATCTCGATATTTTGACGTGCGACTTTTGGTTTCCAATTGAAATGCTTAACATGTTCATGTTGTTTGATTGTGACGAGTACATGCTTGAATTGTTTATATCATGTTAATTGTGGATTGTTGATGATCATCTTGCTGGATTATGTGATGCATGTTTGTATTCGCTTCTGTTTCCGTTTGTCGCATGTTCGTTTGATTGTGTAATTGATGTTTAAAGCATGTTGATCTTGTTGATTCTTTATGATGCAATGTTGTTGCACAATGATGTTTGATTGTTGATGCATGTCCATCCTTGCATGATCTTTGTTCATGATTGGTGCTTGCTCATACTTGATTGCATTGAACATGCTTGCTGCCCTGCTTTCTACAGCTGTTGTATTCTGAATTTGCATGCTGTCTTTGCTATGCTTGCTTGCTGCTTGCCTTTTACACCTTCTTTTATGCTGAATTGGTAGATGTTAAATATTGTCGTGCTGCCTTGCTGGATTTCATTGCTGTTTTGTGCAGGAGGCGCTGTTGTAGCTGATGTTTTTACCTTGTTTTATTGATTTTTGTCTTGCCTTTGCATGCTCCCTTAGGAGTCCTATTCCATTTTAATTTCCGATTAATGTTGGATTAGGATAGACATTAGGAGTGCAATCCAAGCATGATAACAATTAGGCTAGTCCCTTTTAACCTCAACCTTAGGTCCATCTTTTGCATGCTAACATTAAGATAGAATTCCCTTTTGCATCTCGACCTTAGGGCCACTTTACATGACAACGTTAGGACGAAGTTTCCTTTAGACCTTTCGTGTGTCTTTCTCTCTTCTCATCTTAAAACATCTCTAACACACTTAATAAAGACGATGAATATTGTGCGCCACGAGCCTTAAGTATATGGGAAATGATGAGTGTGAGGTTTCTCTTCACTTGTCTAGAGTATTTAGTGTATGCCCTGTGGGCGATATGTGACGCATCCACTCCTATATCATAGTCTTTAATGCAACGTGAATCACAAAGCAAACTAAAAAATCACAAACAAACTTCAAACCTTTTCATCCTTCGGGATTGTGTTGCAAACTCATTTTCAGAAAGAGTACGCTACTTTTCCGTTCTACTGCAAACAGGTATCGACCCTAACTGCTGGAATGAGAATTTATCGTCACTCATAAAAAACACTTAACCAACATGTGGTTTCGTAGTTACCCGAACTACGTTTAATCCGATTTCTCATATCAGATGAGGATACGTAGGCACAAGATGATGATGTCTTGGCGATCAACCTTTTCTCCATCACCCGTAGTTTTCTGAACTACGTTGACTTTGACTTTCCTATTGCACGGGGGAATACATAGGCATAGGGCGGCAATGTCATATCAAGTCTCTTTCTTTTTCTTTGTTCTCGTTTCCGTTTAGCAGTAGCTTATAGATAAACACACCCTTTGATTAGACAACAAGTGTGGATCCCATTGAGTACAACGGATGTGAGAGGTGCTCATACCTTCCCCCTACGTAACTAACTCCCGAACCCAAGATTTGGTTGCGATGACCTTGTCTTTTCCCGTTCTTCAGGTTTTCTTCGATCGTTTCCTTTCCCTCTCTTTGAGATAAATAACGTTCGGTGGCGACTCTTCTGTTTTTTTGCCGGGTGTTTTTCGCAGTTGCGACAAGGTGTTAAAAACTTAAGGGCGTTTAATATAGCATTGTTAGGCAAATGGAAGTGGAAACTAAAAAGTGAGAGAATTAGATTGTGATATGAAAAACTAGAAAATAGACATGGTGAGATAAATGATTATATTAGAGAAAGTGAGCGTGAATCCTCGATTTAGTGGAATGACATATGTAAGTTGGACAATCGAGTTGATAAGTTTCATAATAATTGGTTCTCATCTAGATTAAGAAAAATAATTGGTGATTAGAATGAGACTACTTTTTGGCACGATTGGTGAATTGGTGGAGGGATACTAAAGAATAAATTTGAGAACTTTTTATTTTGTCAGTAAAAAAATCAAAGAAGATTGACGAGAATAGGAAAATAGAAAATGGAGAGAACAAGTGGTCGTTGCAGTGGAGTATGAACATGAATGAAGAATAAAGAGAATCATCAAAAGAGCTAATAACTTTATTGAAATGCATTGTGTTGAAAGTAGGGGTGGGAGTGGTTAGATGGGAATTCAAATAGATATACAATAAAAAAGCATATAAAGCTCTTACGTCTGAGTTATCTATAATATCTAACAGAAATTGGGCTTGAGCTTGGCATAAATATATACCGTCTAAAGTCTAAGTATTGGTGCAGAAAGTAGTTCAAGACACAATTGTCGCTAAAGTTGACTTAGTTAAGAGATAAGTGCTTAATCATGAGCATAGTCACTGTGCAAGTGGTTCTGGTGAGAAGGAGTCAACATCACACATATTTTTCGAATGTCAAATTTTTTTCAAGCAGTTAGAGTAAAGTTTATAGTTGGCTTGACATGACAACACTCTTACATAACAACAATTTATAGCACTTCTATCTTTGTTGGGCTGATTAGCAATGACAAAGTTTTTTATCAACGTGTTACAGTGGTATGGTTTGCTTATATTTGGATAATTTGGAAGGTAAGAAATGAAAAACTATTTCGTTGTAATGAGACATGCCTAGATAACATGCTTGAAGAAGTAAAAATGGTTTCATGGAAGTGGTTGTGTACCAAATCTAACAGTATGAGCTATATTTTACCTCAATGGTATATGGACACACATGCATGCCTTGGAGCGTAAAATTTGACAACTGTATTATGTTAAAATTTGATTGATGTTGCACTTTGCTGAGATACATTACTTATCGAGTTGATTGGCTTGTTTAAATGAATTGATTGGTGATCGAGGTGGATAAAAGATAATCGTCTCATAGGCATGTATTGGATCCTATTGATTTTGTGTGTGTTTTTTTCAGCATGTGGTGGTGAGTTAATTGATGAATTTATATCTGGTGTACATATTGAAAGTCTGTTGCAGAATTAGTGTCTCGAAAATTGATAGAAGTGCATAATTAATTTGTTGTTTTATGTTGAATTTTGCTTGTTGTTGTAGTTCGTTGAGATTCATTATTTATTGAGTTGATTGGTCTATTTAATTGAAGTTTGATCAGAATTCTGGGTTTGTTTTTTATGGTGGTTGTGGAGGTTAGTGGTCTAAGGGGTTTGCATTGGATTCGATTGATTTTCATGTTTTGTGTCAGCATGTGATGTTGTGGTGCTATGATAACTGCATAATTTGGTTTTGGTGTAGATAGTTAAAGTTTGTTGCAGAATTAGCGTATGACAAATTGATCACCTAAAACATGTATAATTTGTCTGATGTACTATGTTAAAAGTTGACTGCTGTTGTGGAATTAGCGTTTGACAAATTGATCGCTTAAAACGCATATAACTCATATGATATATTGTGCTAAAATCTAATCGTTGTTGCAGTTCGCTGAATTTTTTTATTTATTAAGTTAATCAACCTACTTAAATGAAGTGTGATTAGAATTCTAATTACGTCTTTGATGATTGGCAAGATAAGCCGTATCTCGTTTTTTTTCCTTCTTCTTATGTGGTTTTTTTAGGTGTGTTATTAGTTTGTCAGATTATTATTGCTTGTCTTGGCATATGCATTTTGTTTCTTGCCATAGCTTATGCCATGTTTGGTTAGAATTCATTTTTGCTTTAAAAGAAAAACTTATTTTGATAGTATATGAGTTGTGTACTATATAATAATTGAAGTAACCGAAAAACAGATCTAGAGCGGGAAAAGGGAAGGAGATACCAAAGTGTGAGAGCATGTGCGATCGTAATCGCACATTCAGCCGACACCGCCGTGTAAACAAAACATTCCACGTGCCCTCATTTAACAAACGTTTTCACTTTTCACTTTGTGATGTGCTTTCCACTGTAACAAACAACCACCTCCTCATAGTCATCACATTCGCGGCCTCTTGCTTCATCCTCCAAATTACTCTAATTTTTACACTCACCATCATCATTTTTACAGCTACATCAACAACAAAACACCCTAATTTTGGAACCTAACTCCCAACAATAACTGAATCAGATCAAACCCCCCTTCAATTAATCCCAACCTACCATGACCAACACCCATCTAAGAAAACCCTTTAAACAACTCCGCATCCCAATCTTAACATCCACCCTCTTCCTCCTCTCCATGGCATCCCTCTCATTCCTCTTTCTCTTCCTATTCCTCTCTCTCTCATTCTCCCGCTCTCACTCCTCCACCACTCTCCACATCCAGCAAGCCTGCAAAGCAACACGCTTCCCTCACCAATGCCAAACCTCCCTCTCCTCACATTCCCAAAACCTTCCCGCAAACCCTAACCCCCTCCACATCATCCATTCCGCTATCTCCCTTTCTTCCTTAAACCTCAAAGTTGCTCAATCAATGGTGAACTCCATCCTCGACGCTTCTGCAGGCAACCAATCCCGCATCAATGTCGCTAAAAGCTGCCTCCAGGTTTTCCAGTACTCTCACCACCGTACCTCTCTTACCATAGACGCGCTCTCACGTGGGAGAATCAAGGATGCACGTGCCTTCATGAGTGCTGCATTGTCTTATCAGTATAACTGTTGGTCTGGTCTTAAATACGCAAACGACACTTCCTTGGTTTTCAAAACTATGTCGTTTCTTGAGTCTCTCACGAGTCTCTCTAGCAATGCTCTTAGCATGATTCTCTCTTATGATCTTTTCGGTAATGACACTGATTCTTGGAGGCCGCCTCACACTGAGCGTGACGGTTTTTGGGAGGATTCTGGGTCGGGTGTATTCGGCTCGGGACCCTCGGTGCCTGTGAATCTTACGCCCGATGTTAAGGTGTGTAAGGACGCGGGCAGTGGGTGTTACGGGACGATTCAGGAAGCGGTTGATGCCGCGCCTGATAATATTGACATTGGTGGAGGGAGGAGATTTGTGATACATATAAAGAAAGGGGTTTATGAAGAGAGGGTTAGGATTCCGTTAAGGAAGAGGAATGTTGTGTTTTTGGGGGATGGCATTGGTAAGACTGTCATCACTGGCTCGGCAAGTGTTGGACTACAGAAAGGGATGACAACTTATAACTCTGCCACAGTTGGTAAGTTTGTTTTCTTAAGGTTTATTTATGTCCTACAAAGATTACTTGGCATGTAAGATTGAAGGTGTGCTGGTGTCCAGACTCCAGATCTGTGTCGGGGCTTCGTAGAAAATAGCATTAGAAGCATGTAGTGTTGATATAGCATTGTTATATTCTTAATGAGTTGATTGATTGAACTCTGTAGGGGTTGTTGGGGATGGATTCATGGCGAAGGATCTCACATTCGAAAACACAGCAGGTGCTAATGCACACCAAGCAGTAGCATTCAGATCAGACAGTGATCTTTCTGTTATCGAGAATTGTGAATTCGTAGGCAATCAAGATACTCTCTATGCTCATTCCCTGCGTCAGTTTTATAAATCTTGCCGTATCATAGGCAACGTGGACTTCATCTTTGGAAACTCTGCTTCATTCTTCCAAGACTGTGAACTCCTAGTCCAGCCTAGGCAAGCGAGGCCAAAGAAAGGGGAGAACAATGCCATTACTGCACATGGCAGAACAGACCCTGCTCAGTCGACTGGTTTTGTTTTCCACAATTGCTTGATTAATGGTACGGAAAAATATATGGAGTTGTATTATGACAAGCCTAAAGTACACAAGAACTATCTCGGAAGACCATGGAAGGAGTATTCTAGAACAGTTTTTATTAATTCGTTCATGGAAGCCATAATCACACCACAGGGTTGGATGCCATGGAGTGGAGATTTTGGACTGAATACACTCTACTATGGGGAAATTGGCAATTCGGGACCTGGTTCTAATTTGACTAAGAGAGTGTCCTGGAGTAGCCAGGTTCCTGCTGAACATGTGTACACGTATTCAGTGCAGGGTTTCATTCAAGGAGATGATTGGGATAGCCGTATCAGTTATTAGCTTATCATGGGATGGGAGTAAGTTATCGTAGAGCTATGGTTATGAATAGGAGGAATCGGTAAATGGGGAATTTTCCATATTCTTTTCCACATCTACTTGGCAAACTGCTGGTACAAGGAGGATTTCAATAAAGCCATGGAGAGGATGGAGTTCCAAAGCTTGCATCAGTTTTGCTGGTAGATACACTTTTGGGTTGATCCTACTCATTTTTATTAGGTAGACCCTCTTTCCCCGCATATTCTTCTTGTATGATGTGATGGCTGTGGTATAGAATGATATCTGATCATGTAAAATTAGTAAATTTCATTCCAAAGCTTTCCATCCGATGTAACTATACAAAGAGGATATGGAAGTAAAATCCATTATGGGGACTTTTATAGTCTCTGATTCTTTTCAAATTCTAGCGTGGTAGCAAAGACAATGCCAACGTTTTATCCTCGACTCTAGTATCTGGTGAGAAAATTCTATCATAGCCATTTAATTTGAAAAAGACATCGAACCAATGTTGATGTTTTGATTTTTTGCCTGCATTTGCATTCAAATTTTAAGTCAAATCCCAAAAACTTTAGTAGTTTCATTTCATTCATGGCCAACCAAGCGGCGTGATTGAATTAAATTGATGAAATAAAATCAGCAGTAATAAATTTGAACATAACTCTATGTCTCTACCTAATACCTATCCTTTTATATGTTCTCCATTTATTTATTAATGTTATCCTTGACTTCTTCCCCCTCGCAACTTCTGAATTTCAAAACACCAGTGACATGTTTTTCAAGTATGTCTCAATGCAGAATTGTGTCTGTCTAGTTTATGGCTGCTGTACGATCTCGTATATTACATTGTTTCTCTTTTGTACCCAAACACCAGAAAGAGAGTCATACATTATTAATTCATTTGGGGAAAAACTCCAAAAATTGAATTGCTGCTGAATCTGTTTTCATAAGATCAGAGCAAGTAGAAAAAACCATTTTTAAGCATAAAAAAATACGTACAGAGGAATTTTCTTCTATTATCCCTTTTCTCTAACGCCGATCCCAACTAGTGGGATGAAGTTTGGTTGTTGTTGTTTGTTCTGAAATGTATGGCAGGCAAGGAAAGAAAAAAAAAAGAGTCCGGCAGTTCATAAAGCAGAAAGAGATGCCGTGGTGACTGTGGGAGGTGTTGGAGTAAAAGACTCATCATCTGTCCAGTTACTCTCTCCCCAATGCCGCAACATGCTTTTCCAGTTACACAGATTATCTATACACTTCTTCAAGCGTCTATCTTTAACTTTGATTCGCCAATGCCCGTCTGTGTAGTTTGCTATTTCAGCCTGTCTCCTATCCCACTCCAACTGTGCCTTCTGCTTTGACTGCAACAGACAGAACTGTTGTAAAAGCTCAGGCATTGCATCATGCACCTTCCACCACTTTGCATGTGCTACATCACTTGCAAACTCATGAAATATATCAGCATTCCAGTTACAATCATAGTCCCTGAAGCATAACCATGGCTTCAAACCTAGATAGTGAAGCACATACAGAACTGGTGGCTCAGCACCAAACAACATGGTTTTCATTTGCTTCTTCTCTTCCTCATCACCAATCCAAAAATGCTTCAAGAAGTTCATGTGTCTTGGTATCCTATGCCACCATGTAAATATTTCATTCAAATACCCTTGGTCCCCTCCATTGTAAGACTCAATCTCATTTATATGATCCATTAGAAGCTGAAATGTGCAGTTCGATGGCTCAACCACCATGACACCCGAGTTAAACAGAGTGGCATTGTTACCTGTAGCAGTGATTTCCGGCATCCCAAATAGAAAATCTATGTTTCTGAGTATAAGTAAATCTGCATCAATGAATATTATCTTGTCATAATCTGTCAACTGCCATAACCTGAATTTGCTGTAGTTCCATTCATTGTAAGCATCTTTTTCAGCTTTCGGATTTCTGATTCTCTGTATTGTTCTGACCTTCCATCCTGCTGCTTCCAACCCACTTCTGTGATATCCACTGATTGTCTTGTCAACAAGTATTACAAGGTCTCGAGTCGATCCTGACAGCCGGATACTTTGAGCTGCAGCTATGGCTCCACAAACATAAACATGAGCTGAATGCAAAATTGTCGCATATGCTTCTCTTGGAGCATTTCCATTGTAAGCCAACTCTGCATTTCAGTTCATTCTGTTTCAGTTTTATGACAAAAAATACATGACAAACATGATAATGCAATATTACATTTGAATGCAATATTGTGCAAGATGGAAAGTGAGTATTGCATACCTCTGCCTCTCATAGGAAGTGCAAGCTCACATGATCCAACTGGAAGCTGAACCTTTTCTCTCAAAATACTCAAGTTTGGTCTGTATAACCATACATTTCCTTCACGTCCAACTAGTTCTTTGCAGGTAAACAGATTTGGTATCGGAAAACAGTCGGTAATGAAGAGCACATAAATAGGGTAATTGCCTTTGAAAGAGGTAGCAAGGCCAGCAGCTGCAAGCTGCAGGTGCAAACGAGCCACGTCTCTAGACCAATTCCCTCCATTCCTACAAGGCAGTTTGACAGCAATGACATTGAGTCTCATCCCGGGAGGTACAAGACTTGGTAAAGAAGGGCAAACGGGAACTTCAGTTTCTTCTTCTTCATCAATCCATTCTGGATATAGCGACTCCCATGTCACATTGTTTGCAGCATGCTCCAGATGCAGAACAACATGCGTGGCATCTTGAAAATTATGCTTCCAGTGGGAAATCTCAGTCTTGTTGAAGTTTACAAGTCCAATGCCTTGAAATTCATTTTTTCCTGTCAGTTTTTCTGTGATTTTCACTATATCATCCCAATCTGTATCTACATTGGAAACATACCGAGGATCTGAGCCACCCCATATCCACCTGCTCACAAAATTGCAAAGATACTCGGATATTACACCACTATGCTAAGAAAAGAACAGGTATATATTAGTCGGTGATTTTCTCTTACTACATCTGGTCTATTTATAAAAATATTTACTTTTTAGATTCATTGAATAGACAATATATATATTGATTAGGTACATTAGTTTTTTTTGTGGAAAACGTACCTTGAGCCAGAACCTGATAAATGACTGGTATTGTAAACATCTGGAGAGTAGATGAACATTACAAAAGTGGCGGAAATGGTTATCAATAAGATAAGTTTTAAGAAAGAAAACTTCCATCTTGAGCTCCTATCTTGTATAGATAAGTGAAAAGGCTTCTCTATATCTTTTGTTTTAGTTTTTGACACTCTTCTCTTGTATAAATCTTCACTGTAACTCATAATTAGTGAAACAAGTTTTAGTACACATAAGCAAACAATTGCAGATAAATATTGTAAAGCATTGGTTATATGAATTTACATAGAAGCTATGAATAATTGAGAGTGATGTATTGATATGAAGTTAGTATGTTGTTAAGGATCCATGGAATGTAAATAAGAAATATTTGGAAGAGGAAAGGTGTATGATACGGATCAACATAAATTGTGACAGTATGCAATGCATGTTCCCTACTGTTGTTTGAAAAGGATTCAACAACGTTACTAAATGTATACTTCAAATCCTATTAGGTCCATGCGTGACACATGGTTAACTCAACCAGAACCTGTCCAAATACTATTTAACAAATTATTATCAACATATTTTCATTTTGTATTTCTATGAAAATTACAAGTCAGCTTCAAAAAAAAGCATAATTCAGTGTGGCTAATGATAATAAAATATAAAGATGAGACATCCTTAGCTATAAGGTGAAGTGTAGAATGTAGTATAGGTATTTTTGTTTTTTAAATATTTATATATTATAGATAAGTATTCTATTTTATTCATTGAATAATTAATATTTTTTTCCTATATAAACCAAATACCTATTATTTAATGAACATGTAAAATAATAAGAGGGTAGGATGTGTTATTTAGTTCAAGGTATCTCTACCCATTCTTTATTTTAATATAATATAGTACAAAATTTATCAGATTAAAATATTTATTTTTTATAAATTATCTGCATAAACTTTTAAATAAATCTAAGAGATTGCTTGTTTTTAATATTTTTAGAAAAAAAGGAATATACCGATAATATAAAATAAAGACGAATATCTGACATATTATATTTTGATTTTTAAGATATTGTTATGATTTGATCCTTTAAAGTAATTTAATTAAATATCTGTGTAATATTTCTTTACATCGAGAGTACACTACTTTTAAATTTTTATTTTTAACTTTAACTAATAAATATAAACAATATATATATATATATATCCCGATTTTCTTTTATAAATTTTGAAAACTAATATGACTTTTTCTTGAGAAGTTTTAAATAAAAAAATATTTTCAAAAAGTAAACAAAACCTAAAATTCTTTAATATAACTTTCATATACATCAAAACCATTTTCTTGTACGCTTTTATTGATAACTTAGTTATAATAAGATGAAATAGTTTTTTTTTTAATTACTTTTATGACATTTATATTAATAAGATAAAACAGTATAATTTTATGAACTTGTTAAAGTTACTCTTTTTTTTTTCGTAAAAAAACTTAATCTACACTTAATAAAGAGTAATGTTATTTTGACATCCAATTTTACATAGGTAAATAGTAACTTTTTTATTTTGACTTTTTTATAAAAAATTTCTAAAAGTTTAATTAATAGTATATAAAAATTTGTTTAATATATTTTCAAACATAAAAAAGTAGTATTAAATAGTAAAATAAAATTGAGTAATTGAGCTTGAAAAATTAGTTATTATAGCTTATAACTTAGTTATTGAATATCCTGACATCAAAAAATAACCGTAAAAATAGTTGTATGTATTTAATAAACTTTGATTAATAATGTATATAAAGTTGGATAATACAACTTATAATTTGGGTAATATGTTCTAAAACATTAAAAATTTAAAATAATAAAATAGAGTTGATTAATAGAATGTAAATAGTGATTAATAAAATTGATTATTGAGTTGATTAATAAAGTTGATTAATACATCTTATAATTTAATGTTAGGTTAATATTATGTATTTTATTTGAAATTGGTTAATGAATTATAAGTATAAAAAATAATTAATAATATATATTTTTTTGTTAATACAATAATAAAATAAGAAAAAAAATATACACTGACACTATAAAATATTTTTACAGTGTCAATTAATCATAGATGTGTATTCCGACAAATCACACGTTTAATTTTAAAATACTATTATGACATAATAGAATGTTATAATTCTATTGTATAATAGTAAAAGATTAATTTAGAGCGGACACAATATCTTTAATCTCAATAAGTAATAAGTTAATTAATAACCCAACATTCTATTTGTGTTACCAAATAATTTGATGTCAAGATAAAGAATGCTCATTTTTAAAATATAGTAAGGAAATAACAGATTTCATTAATTAAAAGATCATTCCATCTTTTATGAAGCATACATCTCCTAAAAACAAATAATTATTGGTAAGAACTAACGAGGCAAATGACATCACAAAACTCTTTGCATAAGCAGAACCTGATTTAAGATGATACTCATAAAAAAAAGAAAAAGTGATGCAGAATTTTAGAGAACAGACAAACTATGAAGTTAAAGAACTCACATGGATGCTGGCAATCGGTGTCTTGGTTCAACAGAACGAGGAGAAGTTCCCATTGTTCCTCTCATATTCACCAACCTAGCTACTACATGACCATGCAATTATTTCAATGCCATCAACAACAAACTTTAATTAGTTTATCCATTGATCAAAACAAACAGAAACTAACAAAATTAAATCAAATATTCAAAACTAATTTAGTACGCATTAAAAAGTTTTACTTAGTACATGGTGCTTCAACACAATCCTAGGAGACAAAACGTGATTACAGTATTGTCCTTGTTGTTGTTGTTGTGAAGAACACTAAGATAGAGATGAAAAAGAGGAATGTGAAGAAGGTGATGGTGGAAGAAAGAATGAAACACTAATTAATTGATGAAATAGTTTGGGGCTTTTGGGCCACAATATAACACAGACTCACCAAGTAACTTCCTTCACAATTTTTTTTTTCATTCTTTTTTGGGTAGGCAGCTACTTTATATATTATTTCATTTTAAAAAAAATACTTTAATTCTTTTATTCCTATTTTTTATCTGATTTTATCATATATTATTTTTTAGTTGACAAGCCACTATAATACAAGGAATATGTCATTATTATATATATGAACCACTTATGTACTTTTAATTGCTATTTAAGTCAATAGTTTGCATATTATACATGCATTGTCTCACCAATAAATCCAACCCCATTCAATTCTTTTCTTCTCCAACTGTTTAATTAAAAAATGGTAATTAAAATTGGGCTGGATAAATCGAAGCACCCCTTTTAACCGTCCAAAAAAAGCACCCTTTTTAATAATAAAAAGTTGTCATTATTATTGTGAGAGTTGTTGTTACTAGATAGATATTAGGTTAATGAAAACAATTGTTCATTGGATTTGGAGTAAAGATGACCACATGTCCCAATTCTTTGTCAAATAGGAAAACATAATTGTTTCTATTTTTACAAGGACTGTTTAAGATTTTACTTTCATATATCCAAACCTATTTTATTTTACTTTTTGTTAATATATATCCAACTTTTGGCCCCTGATCATGAATTTTTCTATATATGATCAGGTTTTAATGATCTCTAATCTTAAAAATGCCACAATTAATTGATTTAATATCCATGGTAGGTAAACATTCTTTTCATTATCATAATACTAATAATTAATTTTCTTTTAATTTTAATACTAAGGAAGTTCATCTACATTTGAAGAAACTGAATGGCAGCATCAAACACCTAATTAGCTGCCAAGACAACTACACACATAACACATGTCACACTTCTATTTTCTTAATACTTCCAATGTGATCATTATTATTGCAGATAATCATCCTTCAAATTGATGATATTTGTTTAAATGTCCTTTCTTGCACTATTTCACCAAACATATGGTCTTAGCATTATCAGTCAAAACTGCAATAATCATGTTAATTAATAAAAATTAAACAATATTTTATTTTCAATCACAAAGTAACCTCTTTGCACCTGTTGACCACCTTTTTTTTGGTATAATTTTGTCCTTTTTTCAAGGATTGTATAAATTTATCTTACTACTCTCTTCATTGCAAATTAATTTGTAGACAAAACATTTCTATTAATTTAATATAGAATTCTTTAACATGAAGAGAGTGTGGAGACGTAAGAGAGTATGTATACTGTATTGCAAGTAAAGCAACTCAAAAGGTAAAGGTCTGTGGATTATGGGAAAGAAGATTTAGAGCTTTTTTGTTTCTGGCTAAGGTTGAATTTTGTGACATGCGTAGTGGACCACACAAAGCATTGGAAACTTGATATAGAAATGAGTGGAAACAAAAAGAAGGGTACATGTTATCCCACAATTATACATACGTGAGAAAGAGAGCAAGACTGAACTATCCCTGCGAACATACATGACCTTATCAAGCAACCTTGCTCTCTCTTTCTTCACCTTTTTCTATTGAAATAATATATTTTCATATGGCAAGTAAGCAGAACCAACCTGTCTTGTTTACACATTCACCGTTGCAACGGTTTTGAGATTTCATCGGTAATTGTCAGTTAAACATGTAATCATGTACACACGGAGCTTTTAGATTTTTCGTTCCCTGATCATTGCGGTTTCAATGAAATGATTTGTTCTAGAACATTTATCTGTAGTAGGCAGATACTTACTTTTATTATTGCAAGCAACGAGGAGATTTATAAAAAAAGCAAAGCAAAAATTCAGATATCTCAAGCTATGGGGACAAAAACATGTAGTTTCTGCAATACATTCTAATGAATCAGAAATCAGAATCAGATTTTTCCACTTTGGGAGGTGCAAACTGCCTGGTGAGACGAGATCGTGTCCAAGGATCAAGGGGTGCTCTCTGAGGTGGTTGAGGAGTTGGTGGCTTTGATTGCCTAAGCTCATTATCTCGATCAATGAACCTGTTGGAAGTTAAAATCTTAATATCCATTTTCTAAGCAACTTAAAAGATTTGAAGGATAGACCATAACAACACAATTGATTAAAATGACAGACAATATCACCAATAATGAAAAGAAATAACTTCTTTAGTGAAATCAAGCTGGGATACAAAAATAACAGAACCAACAAAGTCAGTTAGACTAGTGACTATCAGAAAATAAAGAGACTTACTCAATATAGGCCATTGGTGCAGCATCGCCAACTCGAATACGAGTCCTAAGCAACCTGGTGTACCCACCAGCTCTATCCCTGTACAACACAACGTCTGTTCAGTGTCACAATTAACAGTCATAAATTGGTGATTGAAATTACATCAAGTTTAATACTCACTTGTACCGATAAGCCAGTTCTGTAAACAGCTTGTGGATGACATCGTCTCCTCGCACGAAACTAGCAGCACGCCTTGCAGCACATACAGATCCCTAAAAGTTTTGTGTAAACCATAGGTCAATCCAAGTAGTGGAGCTAGATAAGTTGATGAAATGGTTATCATCCTATCAAGTATATGCTCAAGGCCAAAATAAATATCCACATTAATCTGATTATACTGACAAGCACATCAACACTGGCAACCATCAGCCATAGTCTTACGGGAGGCAGCATAACGGCTGATAGTGGAAAACGGCAATCATGTCAAATAAATGTAAACTGTAACAACAAACAAGCGTGTGGAAGGTAAATAGTAAGCCATAACAGCGCACATAAAAAACAACAACTGTAATAATGTTTTACATGCAAATTAATTTATCTTGAAAAAACAAGTTCACAACACAGGCTTACAAACCAAAATGCACGAGTACTAATGGGAAAGAAAACAGAAAATGAGGATCCTTACTTTTCATATTCCCTGATAGAGGTGTAAAGAAAAGAAGAAAAAAAAAACTAAAGATCTTAAAGGAAAACAATGGTGTACGCGCAGAAAATATTGAGATATAACTGGCCCCAAATTATGAAGCCAAGATACTTAAAATTTTGCAATTGAACTCATAATATTCTCCATTAGAACTCCCTGCATTAAGTTAATTGTAATTTGATTTCTTGCAAAATTTGATTTCTTGCAAGAGTCACCACACTTTATATTTTGGGCATTTAGATTTTATTCCAGGTTAGGATATTAACTTAAGCCAGCTAAAAGAAGACAATAACAGCCTAAAATTAGTCAAACAACTTGCAAAGGGAGTTCACTACCAATCACCAGGAGAACAAAAATGAGTTAAAATCTAACAATAGTGGCTAGCACAGAATTTTATGAAAAATACAATATCATAAAGGGAAAGGAAAATCTATATTTTTTTAACATGAAAAATTACCAATCAGCCATATATGCACTAAAAAAGATATAAAATTTCTATTTGTCAGTCAGATTCAGTTTCAACTTCATATACACATGTTCCAGATGCATTGTTTGTGTAAAGTACTAGAGTCTATGTTGTTAATCTCGAACAGCACCACGTAGCACCGACCTCCTAAAATGCTATAGCAGTATAGCGAGATAGCCTCTATTGTAATGACTAAAAATCAGTTTACAAAATAAACATGATACTCAAACTTCAACTAGTACACAAAATTAAAGAGATCATCATACTTAAAGAGAACCATAAGTATAGAGTAATAAAACATAACCGAACTAAAAGTAGGAAGAAGAACGAAACAATTTTTTGTGAGCAAGAACATAACATTATTCTCCAAAGGGTTCAGCTTGAAATTTATGCCATTAAGAAAAAGACAACAATTTTAAAAATAGAATTTAAAGAATTGATCCACAAAAATAGCGGCTGTGGTAGTGGTTTGGGGCCACAATTAGCGGCTTCTACGACCACTATTGCTATTCCGCTATAGCATGCCATTGACAACATAGACTAGAGTCAATACATAAGGTGTTTCTAAGTTTAAAAGTGGAAACATCTATACAACTGAAATACATTGGCATCACTCGGAATTGAAAGCAGGATGAAGATAAAAAAAATACCTCACACGTCTAAGAGAAGGTGTGTATGTGTTTCGTTAAGAAATATGCCCGTTGAATTTTATGCATTAGAGCTGTTGAACTCCCAACTCGCCACAGAGCTAACCATTGGCTGAACTTGGTCACCCACCCAAATAGTTATGCTTGGCTTTTCCAATTTTATAGCTACAAGATTTAATTAATTATTTTATGTCTGGACTGACTTACTACTATCACTTTCAGCTTCACTACTTTGTAAAAAGGAACACTAAAGCTTGCTTGTTCTTGTGCCAGGAAATAAGCAATTTAAGTGTATACTTCATACCTACTTCCAAATTTTGAACTTCCCTTACCTTATAAACTAAAACCAGTTTGATAAAATACCATTTGCGCATTAATAAAAGAATAAGATAGATAAAGAGTTATTGTGAGCTATATCTATCAAAAGAGTACATAAACCTCGCTGGACATAGTTCAATCGATAACAAAGTAAAGATTCTAAATTATTAGAGTATAAAAAGATGAACTCAAACTCACATGAAGCACAACCATGGCAGACATAAAGTACCATTATATATTTCCCCTAAACTCAGTACTGGAAGTATAACCCCTCAAAATTGCTTAAATTAATTACTTCAATTTTGAAATGAACCACAAAAACACAAGCACTAACCTCTTTTCCAAGTTGTACCATATTATCCGCAAGCCTTCTAACCTCTTTAGCCTACAAACAAAATTACAAGCATCATATAATAGAGTGACATAAAATCCTAAAATTTGAAATTGAAAAATAAAAAGTGAATAGTTATGAAACGAAAATGCATAGGATCAATTTTTGTTTATACCTTGGCAACAGTAGTTTCGATACGCTCATGCTTCACCAACTGCGAGACCATGGTTCTAAACAAGGAAAAATCGAATGGGATTTGAAAACTCAAAATTCAGAATCGTGGAGATGAAAAAAGGAAAGAATTTGAGGTTTGAATTGAAAGCGTGTGAACCTGAGCATGGACATTCGGTGACCGGTGGGTCGACCGAGCTTCCTGAACTTGGTCATTTTGATAGATGCAGAAGCAAACGTAAAACCCTAATTCTTACAATGTGTTCTGCAAGAAAACGGAACAGAGGAGCTTCAGTATGAGGGATAGTGGCGACCAATGAGAGCTTGGCTGTGTTCTCGGCTTCTGTTATCATGGGCCTATTTGAGCCCAAATTCTTGTTTGTTGTTTGGGCTCAAATTAGTTTTGTGAGAAAGATAGGAAAAACACCTCTACAAATCAAACTTAATCTCTACAAAATCTAAAAAATGCACCTTTATTCATTTAAATTTAGAGAATGTTTACTTCACATAAGTATTTTTTTTTAAGTGTCGTAGTGAATATATTTATGAAAACACTTCATTATACTTTTTAATTTTTTTTTAAATTGTTTATCGAATTACTTTAAATTACAGTAATTTGATATGCACTTTTTAATTTTTTTTTGAAAAAATTACTATTATTATTATTATTATTATTATTATTATTATTATTATTATTCAAGTTTTATTCAAATTTCTAATTTTTCTGTAAAAGTGTTTTAGTGTTCATGGTAAATACCGATAAGTTGTACCCAAAAAAAATATACATCTAAAATTTTTGTAGTTGTTTATTTATTATTGTGAAATTCATATTTTATATTAATTTTTAATGAATTTTATACGCAGTTGACTTAATTTTGAATGGACAAACATATGTCAGTAGTATCTATACAAATTTGTTTTCTATCCCATGAAAGGGATTTCCATATCTTTAAAACATAATTAAAAAATTAATTTGATGAAGAAATTTACTTATTAAATGAGTTGCAATGGAGTGTTTTGATAAATTATAGGACTATTTATTAGAACACTTTAACAAATAGAAAAATATGTGTGGGGCGAAAATTCTCCAAATTCATAAAACTTAAAATTGTCATTTTTATATTTCGTAAGAATCAATGTATAATTGTAAGGGTGAGGGGTATTTTTTTTTCATCCTTGAAATATTAATTGTTATGTATTTAATATTTAATTTTGGCCATTATGAATTTTCAGTTGTATCACCATACTTTTTATTTGTATATCATTTGATTTCATAAAAATTATATTTTTAATGAAAGTCAATTGTTATATATTTTTATGAATTATTAATTATTTGCGGGAGTTTTGACTTTTAGAAAACTCCTCTAGTTTCGATAGGATATCGTTGGTCACCTAAAAACTTTGCAAATAAGATATGAGAATCGTATAAGAAGCGGTTTGTTTAACTCCCTAAATTAATTTGTGGGGGCTGAAAACTCTCGAAAATCGGTTTAAAAACTCTTCAATCAAGCACATTTTATTTGTCATTTATTTTATTCGGTTATTTATTTCTCCATCTCTTTTTATTATTGTTATTTCGTTGTTTTACTTCTGTTTATTTCTCTCTTCTAACATAAATTATTTTTAAATTAAAGCTTTTTTATAAATCAACTTTTGAAATTCAAATATCACAATTCACCCCCTCCTTTTATGTTTGGAGTCGTTTATACAACAAGTGACATCAAAGCCTAACTCATATTATAAAATTAATAATCTCATAAAATAGGATGGCGACTTCAAACATTTTTTTTAGTAAGAGTCTTTTTGTGCAAGTGTTGAATACTAATATGGCGATAACATGGTTACTAGCCAACATGGTCAAGACAACCTAGGATAGTGAGGGCAATCGAACACATGTTATTAAGCTAAAGAAAGGGGAGCGCATGGATACCATATGGTGACTTGATAATGAGAATTCTGATGCATGTTGGATTCATTTTAGAAATGGAAGAGTTGATTGAGACATCTAGTTACTTTTGCGGAATGCAATTTTTCTGAATAAGGAATATCCACTCCTCACGGACTTTGTGGTGATGATAATGATGGAGACATCTAGTTGCTCTAATTTGTTGTTTTCTTTAGTTGTTTGCTTGTTTTGCTTTTGTTTCCATTATGTAATCCTCTGATATTTCTAATATATGAATGAAGTTTTATTTATCTTAATTGCTTATATTGTGTTATATGAGTTGTTTATCATTTTCTCTTCTTATGTTTGCTGTCTTTTTAATAATGACAAATGAGTGTTAGATCTGTTCATAACGTTACGGTTTCTATCGATATAGAAATCAAGAACATAAATTTAAACTAATCTCTATGAGTCAATAATCCATGAACTTGTATCCCTTAAACCCATACCGTAATTCAACCAAAGAATAAAAGCAAAAAGGTACACGAGTTTGTCATTGGAAATCATTGAAGGTTGTTGGGTACGTGATCTTCCAATTGTAGAGTTTCTTATGGCTCCTTGAATATGCTATGGTGAGGATGAAGAGAAATTTTTTTCTAATGAATGTTTACTTAGAAATTTGGTAAACAAAACAAGTTTCTATTAATACTTAAGGGATTAAACTCAAAAATATCCCATAAAATATTTGTGTGAATCATAACCCTTAGACATCATGTTACTATGGAGATTGAAACACAATGTTTAAAAGATAATAATTTGAACTTGTCTAAACTTATAATGTAAAAGACTTTGAAAACAAAATAAGTAAAATTGAATTGTTGATTGAAATTGAAATACAATGTAAATGCAAAAAGACTTGAGTGTAAAATACTTGAAGTTTATAAATGTGGAATGCATACGTACATTTTCTTGCTCATTTCTCAAACACTCAGATACTTTGAGTATATAGAAATTTGAGTACAATTGCAGACTCTTACAACATAAACTAGCATCTCCTTATATATTAGTCTAGAATAACTACCTACAAAGGTCAATTAAACACATCACGACACGTTTTACTTCTGTAAGCAGTGAGAATCGGAGACCAAGCTATTACATTATACTCGACTCGCATAACAAAAGATGTCACCGTCGAACTTTAATTTATCCAAGGGAAGGGGAAAAGAACGTATAAACCCTAAGTAAAAAATGCAAGTCTAAAGACGAGGCTAAAGACTATGCAAATAAGAGATCAAAGGTACGAGAGTTGGTTATACTAAGGGAATGTATTAGCATCCTAAGCATCTGTAGTACTCTACAGAAACAACTTGAAATATCTATGTTTTTGCTATAAATTATTTACTATTGTTTTGGAGATTTGATTGTTTTTTAGTGACGGTGAGAGTGAGAAATATTTTTGTTATTTTTGTAATGTGTCTAAATAAAAGGGGTAGAAAATAAAAGGTAGCTCGCTAGGATCTCGCAATCTTATGCCTACATATTCTTAATAGGAAGTAAGAGCAAATGTAGTTCAGAGAACTACGAGTAAAAAGAGTGAAAAGGGGAAGAGAGTGAAAGAAAAAGAGTGTAAAAAATAAAAAGAGTGTGAAAAAGAAAAAGAGTGCTCGCCAAGGATTGAAACCTTGTGCCTACGTATTCTCAAAAGGAACTTGAGAAATCAGAGCGTTCATAGTCCATGGAACTACGAATTGTTAGGGTTTTAAGAACCATGACAACAAATGGAAAAAATCTTGAAAGCAAAGCTTATGATGATTGATTGTATATGTGAAGAGATTAATGACCATCTCTTATGAAAAGATTTGAATGAAGAGTTAAAGGTTTTTAAAGGGAGGAGAGATTAATGGCTATCTTTATGACAATGTTGATTGTAAATGTAAAGCCAAAGGTGGTAAAGGGAGAAGAGATTTATAGATATCTTTATGGCAAGGTTTGAAGGAAGAGTTAAAAGGTACAAGAGATTAATGATTATCTCTTAGGAAGGCTAAAGGTTTGTAGATGAAAGTGTTTTGAGTTTGAGAAAAGGGAAACCCTAACTTGAGTGTTTAAGTTAAAGGTAATCCTAAGGGAGAATTCCTAAGGGATAACAAGTTCTAGGATTACAAGAGAGGTATATACAAGAAGATGGAAAGATGCAAATGCAAATGATAAGAATGTCAACAACAAGCCATTCCCTTGGAATGAGGCATGCACAAATTGATAAACATCATGAACATAACATGGTTTTAGGCATGGTGAACATGAACAAGACATGACAAAGGTTTATATAACATCATAAGAAAACAACTCATGGACATTGTCATACCTCAAATTTTACCCTCAAATTCTTTGATCTTTTTCATATCTTTTTAAGTCATCCTTTTTTTTGCATTTTTCTAGTTATACATTTCATTTCATCATTAATCATGCATTTTCTTAGTCAATTTTATCATTCCATTTGAGAATATGTTTTTTTTTTGTTTTTTTTTATTTTCATGTTCTTTTAATTAAGTTGGCTTGGATTCACTTAGTTAATTAGGTTTTTCATTTTAGTTAATTTTCTTTTTATCTCTTTTTATTTTTTAGTTAGATATTTTCTTTTCAACTAATTTTAAATTAATTTAAGTTTATTTAGTTATTTTTATCTTTATTGTAAATTAGGCTCTATTTTTTTTGTTTTTTTTTACAAAATCATTACAAAAAATCCAATTCAAAATAAAGTCCAAAGTCAAGGCCCATTTACACAAAAAAAAAACAAAACAATGACCAAAATGAAAAGAGAGAATCATAGCGCTACAAGTTACAATACAAACACCTCAATAAACCACTCCAAAACTACGTCACAAACTGTAAAAAAAATCAACTTTTTACAAAATTATGCACTTTGACTATAAACCATGATGTTATCACTGCCACAAAACAACAAACTCCCCTGCTACAAAAATACACCAGACTTGTCCAAACTTAAAATTTCTGCCACTTCCTACACACTACATTGCCCAAGCCATGATAGTAACAAGACATATGCATTAACGTACTCCAAAACCTGCATAACCTCAGTGCCTTCTGCCCACAAGCATCCAAGCAAGACAAAGACAAGAACCTGCACATATTTTTCCAAACTTATGCATCAATTACCTGACTACAAGATGACAAATCTCTACACACAAAAAACAGAACTCTAAACATCACAACCTGTTTTGTGTTTTGAGGGTGATTTATCATTTAACAACAGAGAATAGAGGATGGAGGGACATAAAAGAGAAGGGAGATTGATTGAAAAAGGGAGAAGAGG